AACAAAAGAATGTTTGCTTTTGTTGTTTGCCCATGATGTCACTTCCTGGTAGATTATGCCATTAATTAAATATCTAATTTTGATAGTAAAAGGAATATTACAAGCAGGTCTTGACAATTTGATCTCATCTTGTCCAGTAAAAGTGCATTTTTTTAAAGAGGACTTTAAAAATAATTTACATTTGTCCATCATTTGTCCATCTGCTGTAATCGGAGTTTAATAATGTGTGAAAACAATCAAGCTATTTATGCAACAGCAAAAACAAAGAAACTCTTAGAACAAACAAAATTTAAGAAACTAAATCCGGCCTTAAAATTCGACTGGATTGTGTTGTAAAGCAAAAATACCTGTTTTTAAGCTTAAGCTGAGGACATGAATGTATAAAGCTGGACTGAGTCACCATGACACTTATTGCGCAAGGATGTATTACTCAGGTCTCGCGCTGAGAAAGGAAACAATGTTGTGATCTGGGGACTGGAAAAGCAATCACAAGAAGGTATGAGCCAAACAACACAATGTGTCATGTGTGGATGACCTAAGGTTTGACCTCAGCGTTTTTATTAGACATTCAGACACAAGCCCAGAAGACACAATAGAACTGATTGTCTCTGCTACAATAGAGGCTGCTGTCTTACAGTCACAGTTAATAGCTGGGTTTCACTTTTATAAGACTTTAGTTTTAGATTAGGACTAAAATGATGATTTATAATTATTATAATAACTAAGGCTAGGGCTAGGTTTTTGTACATTATGAGTAATTACATAAGTTTTAACATTAAACATGACTAAACTGCAATCTTTTGGCTACCAATGATTATGAAAAATAAACATCAATTAAGATTTAACAGTTATATTAGTGTCATAAACCGCCCTCTTTTCAGCAGTCTGCATTCTTTTATCTGCAAAGCTGAGTTTCACATCATGTAACGTGACTCGCAGCATCAGACGTGCTCGCTTTAGTTTCAATCACGTTATTTAAAACACGAAAGAGAACGTGTGTGCTGTTCTATGCATGCGGCCAGCCTCAGAAACAAGCAGAAGAACACTGACATGTTAGGTCATCTTTCAGCTTAAACGGCACCTAAATGCTCAAATACATGTAAAAATGTGTCAAAACATAGTGCTTAGTGATGATTTACATAAACCTTTTTGGTTGTTTAAACTACTAATTTAAAATGAGCTAAAACAACACAATTCTTGAGATTTCATTGGGACAACTTAATTTTTTTATGTTCAATCCACATAAATTTGTTAAAAGTGTTTAGCTAATTTAATCCAGTTGTGGTGGCTCAACATGAATGAATTGTGTGGAACCTTGCATTTTTACAGTGTTGTTTGTTTTGTAAATGTTTTTATAAATGAACATAAAAGGTTAAGAATAAAAAGTAGTGTAACCGTAAATCAGAAACACGCAGCTCTTAAAGGGACAGTGTGTTGTCATTATTAATCAAACAACAAAAGACCAGGAGAAAATCACACAGTGTTCTTGACTGAATGACTTTACAGCTTTAATTGGAACTGAATCAAGTTTAATTTAGTGAAGCTTGTTTATTTCATTTGTATTTATTTTTATTCTTTTCCATAAATGCCAGAAATGTTTTTTTTAATAATTTATCCCATTTTGCTTTGGTGTTGAGAATTGTGAATTTTCTTTGAAATCTTGGAATCTTTTAAATATTTATGAGCAATTCCAGCAGTGACATTTGCTGTAACATGTGAAACAATACACAGAGAAAGTACATTATATCGAAAGATTTGTTTATATTTTCACAAACTACTAACCACAGTTTTATAGAATCAGAAAAATATCAATCTGTAAACATTTTTTTTATATTTTAAATGAGTTAAATAAATAAACATTTGCTATTTATGTGACCAAAAAAAGTGACAGATGTGAAATTAGCACTTTTGTGACTTAAAAAAAGTGAATCAAATATAAATGTTTAAAAACACTGACAGAAACATTTTTGAGCATTTTTACAGTACTGTAAAATAAAAGCAGATACAAAAAACCTGAAAAGATTTCGCTATTTTGGTGTGATGTTTTTTTTCATGGCAATGTTGATATTTCAAATAATACCTTTTTTTCCACATAACCGAACATCCCTAATTATAAGACAACTCGACATTATTTGTATGTATTTAAATATCATTTATGGCTGATTGCAGCCAAAAACAGATACAAATATGTAAAGTAGTATTGAAGAGTTTGAGTCAATAAGAAGGAATTATTAGCTTTATTCAGCAAAGATGCATTACATTTATCAAATGACAGTAAACCTATTTATGATTTCATAAAATATTTCTATATCATATAAAAGCAGTAGTTATAAATATGAAACTTCTGTTCATAGAATAATTCGGGAAAAATATTTTATATCAAACAAAGAAACTAGGAAAGAACAGGTAGAATTTTGATTCCAAGACTGATAATTATAAAAATGTCTCTTATTTAAACAATTGACAAAACATTTTCAGTGAACATTATTGGATTGGATTAGGCATGGGATAAGTAGTTGAAAAAGTCAAGGTTTTAAAACATTTTCTGTTATACTGTGGTACATTTAAGTTTTATTAATGTATTTTTATGTGTTGTAAAGAAATATGTGCTTTTGAAACTAATAAAGACAGCAGAAGTCAATGATTTATTTGAATTATTTAGCCTGAAATGTTTACTGTTACAAAATATTGTACATTTTCCTAATATAATATAATATAATATAATATAATATAATATAATATAATATAATATAATATAATATAATATAATATAATTTAACATAATATAATATAATATAATATAATATAATATAATATAATATAATATAATATAATTTAACATAATATAATATAATATAATATAATATAATTGAACATAATATAATATAATATAATATAATATAATATAATATAATATAAAATAATATAATATAATATAATATAATATAATATAATATAATATAATATAATATATTATAATGTTTATAATGTTTTGCACAGATTTAATTGCGATCTGGCAGATATCTTATAATGTGACCCAGAGAAAAAGGCTGGATTATACAATTCAGTGCCTTCACACGAAGCATGTTGTATTTATTTATTTTTTTCAATTTGATCAAAAAGTCTGCAGCTATAACTGGCTGACACACCGCTGCATCTCAAAAAGAAACACAAGTCAGTGTTTGTTGACATGTGGGCAGAAGCACAGAGGAGCTTTGTTTGTCCAGTGAGGTCTTTCACTGCTGTATTATGACTAATGATCCACCAGCTGCAGCAGCGAATGCCAGGAATATTCCCTGGCAACACACTGCCTTGCGCATATCGCCAATAAAACTGCCTATTACAACTGTAGCTGATGCCAATGAAGATGCTCTTCTGCTGCCATTGATATTTCATAGGAGCAGATTGAGTGATATTTCATTTGCATTTTCTGATCTCATTTGCTTTCCTCTAAAAAGTGTGGTGGTCTACAGAAAGCACCTTTCGGTAGACAGCCTGTTTCTCATAATGAATAAACCGCTTACTCAAAATAGCTCTTAAAGTGCTAAACCACTAATCTAGAAGCTTTAAGTATGTGTGAACAAAACCACATCTAAGAAAAAATAAAAATAAAACGGCTACAAAAGCAAACAACCGCCATGGCTACTTCATTACCAACATCTGTGGCACTTTTGAACTAGACCACATCATGTGGAGTGTTTACAACCATCACTGAGATATTAAACTTGTGTAACCCATACATAAATGAACAATTACATCACAGTTTGATTAGCTTTGCTTTTGTGGGAAAACCGAATAAGATGTTTTGAAGAACGAACGGTTTATTCGTTTGAATGAGTTTTGCAACTGAATCATTCAGACTAATTCAGTGAATAATTTTTTTATTCAATTTAGGCATTTTTTAGTCTTTAATCAGATAGGACAGTAGCTGGACTAAAAGCAAAGTTGGAGAGAGAAGCAGAGAGGAGAACATCGCAAAAAGGTATGTGAAAAGCTGCTTTGATTGTATATAATTGTTGTAAAAAGCACTATACAAATCAACTTAAAATGAATTGGGGCTCAAACTCAGCACGCCTGAATTGCAATTGCGTAACAGGTTGGAGAACTTCTCACGGGTATATTTAAATTTGCATTTGGATTTATATTTTTTCAGCAAAGATACAACATTTTTCTATTTATCTCATTCTTTTTCAATTGCTATATTGAAAAAATATTAAACATGACAATACTTTGCGAATCAAGCTGAACTATGCATTTTATGGACCATTAAACCCCTACTTAAAATATACAAATTTGCACAAATGCTGTTATTTTCGATTGATAAACACATAAAATGTTTCTGAAGTATCAGATCATCATATTATAATGATTTCTAAAGGATCATGTGACACTGATGACTAGGGCTGGGCCGATAAACAACATAATATAAAATCGCAATTAAATTCATGTCGATAACAATGATACGCTCTGGCCATTGTTACTCAATATTGATCCTAAAAGTCAATCACACAGCAGAAATATGCAACAACAGGAATTCATAATTGCGTTGATATTAGAGATTTACCGAATTTTTGTTTGCCGAAAATTATCAGCTGAAAATAGGTCATGCTGCATCATCCAGTATTGTTTAGCGCACTTGTTTCAGCAGTATCTGTATTTAGTCATGGTCGGGATACTCTTTTAAAAGTGGAGGCATTAACAACTTATATCAATGTATTTACCGTTAAGTATAGAAAATAATAATTGAGAATGCATTTTTGCAATATCGCCTAGCCCTACTGAAGACTGGAGCAATAACACAAAAAACTCAGATTTGAATCAAAGAATGAAATATTGATTTAAAATTTAGCAACATGGCAAACGGTTATTTTAAATTGTAACACCATTTAAAAATATTTCTGCCCAAATACATGCAGCAATGGACAGAATAAGAGTTCACATGAAAATGACATCAATCTCTCTGAACAATAACAAAAGAACAAAAAACAAAGCAAACTTACAAGCCGCCGTCTTTCCTCCTCAACCGTGTTCAGTAGCTGGGAGAATTCCTTGAATGACTGCGCTGTGATAAGAGAGAAGAATGCCAATCATGAATCCGTTGACTCTAGATCTGTAATAACTCTATCAGCATCTGATTTTGCCCTGACAAAGTATATACAGTTGAAGTCAGAATTATGAGCCGCCCTGTTAATTTTATTTCCCAATGTCTGTTTAACAGAGAGAAGATTTTTTTTCAACACATTTCTAAACATAATAGTTTTAACAAATCATCTCTAATAACTGATTTATTTTATTTTACACTTCTATACAGCTTAAAGGGGCATTTAAAGGCTTAACTAGGTTAATTAGGTTAACTGAGCATTGGTAATTAGGAAAGTTATCGAATTATGGTTTGTTCTGTAGACTATCAAAAATATATTGCTTAAAGGAGCTAATAATTTTAACCTTAAAAGGTTTTTTTAAAAATTAAAAATTACTTTTATTCTAGCCGAAATAAAACAAATAAGACTTTCTCTAGAAGAAAAAATATTATCAGACATACTGTGAAAATTTCCTTGCTCTGTTAAACATCATTTGGGAAATATTTAAAAAAGAAAAAAAAAAATCAAAGGGGGGCTAATAATTCTCACTTCAACTGTATAAAGAAAACCTGCACATAATATTAGCTATGCAAGAAAAATAGCATGGCCACCCACAACTATGCACAAAGGGGTATTCAAGAAACGGCATACCAACACATTCAAGATGTAGAAATGTGAGAGTAACAAAAAACACGTTTCCTGTTTGAGCTGGGAAATGTGTACAAAATAGAAAAATATTAGGATAAAACTTGCATGTTTTACAGAGATCTATTTCATTGGTGACAGTGCGACAATTAATGTCCTTACTGACTATTCCTTGTTTTGATGCTTGCATGAGACGATACTTAAAATATAATCCAGATGTATGCTATGTTTTGATATAAACAGAAATGTCAGAGAAAGCACTGCAATCTAAAAATACCATATAAATAACCAACTGACGACACTACAAAGAGCATATGATGTTGTGTTATTTAACGATTCCCAGTGCTTCTGTATTTAAACAAAGGACATTTTGGCCACATCACTTCCTGTCCTGGGATTTACAGCATTTTTCTCTTTGGTGATAAGAAAGGGTCCCACCTCGTCATTCTCCAGAGACTTAACTCCCCCAAAGATTTACAATTAGGAACTCGGATAAGAACTACTTTCAACTTCTTTCTATAAGGAGCACTCAGCCTACAGATAAACACGCTCTTCTAGGCCATTTAAAAATCTTGTTGCGGCAAGACAAATCTGCTTTGATGCATGGCGGGAGAAGCATAAATCCAGGCATCCATGAAACAATAGTTATCCTGCAGAGATATCCATATCACATTTGAACAAGCTCTCACTTTCTGGCATATTTACAATTTGTTGCAGTACTGTAGTATACCGTGCAATGTTGTGTGGCTGGTAAGATTCATTTTGTTGTTTGAAAGTTTCGTTTTGTTTGAAAGTCTCTACATTTGCTCACAGACTATATTTACATGCCCGAAATACAGTACAAAACAATAACATTTAAAATATTTAATTTAATTTTATTCTAATTTTATTTTTTATTTTATTTAATACACAGTCTTCTATTTGTGTACATTTACTGACACATATTTATATTAAAACATCTCAGACCTCAATCTTTGATATTTTAATGTAAAATTTATTTGTATCATTTGTATTTATTCTTATGTTATTACTAGGCTCACACGGAATCTGAACGCACAGAAACCTGCCGAGTCTATTTATTTGCTTGTGTAAATGTGTGTAAATTTATATTTATTCAGTTTTAAATACATTTCAGAAATATTATTTACAAATCTAAAAATGTTCATGACTCATATGATGATTGGCACTAATATTTTCAGTCTTTTAGTAGATATATTATATGAGAGGCTTGCTTTGTTTACCAAATAAGTGAATTGAAGATGGATTTGCAATGTAATCATTAAATAAAAGTTACGAATTTATTAATTTTTTAGTTATGCTACTCCTGAAATTTTACAGTATAAATCTACAGATTTTTTACAATATTCTGAGCAGAAATAGCAAAAACATGTCAGCAGATTCTGTCTGGCCCTATTACTAACTGTTACAACACTGTAAAAATCTAATTACAACTTGTTAACTTGAAGAATTTGCAAGTTAGGTGGACATATTTTGAGCTCAGAGTTGACTTTACTCAAGAAAACGATTTAGCTGCATGTTTGGAACTGTTTGTTCAATGAAAGTAAAAAAATTCAGTTAAGGAGACTTTGAATTTTGATTTCTTCACTTGAAGTTGTGCCAAATTATTTTGTAAATTATACTCGACTTAAACCAGCCCTTTTAGTCACCTTAAAAATACTTTGGCACAACTTCAACCACTGAAGCTTAATAAAATCAAAATTTATTTGCAGCTGGTTGCTTTAAAATTTGAAGTTAACTCAGCTTTTTTTTTTTTTTTTTTACAGTGTAATGTTTAAGATTTATACAATTTAGGGTAATTTATTCTTTGAGGATTGTGAAGTTTCCCTGGTTTTTAAAATCATTCATTAGCACACAGTGCTTGAGAGTGTAGGTTGGTTGCTCTTGTTGTAGCCATTTGCGTGTTGTTGCTTTTTTTACTGTTAATTGTTATTGCTATAAGCTCCACTGTGTTATAAATATGATTGTTTATGTTTTTATTGAAATAAGTTATAATTTAAAAAGTTATACTGCATTTGTTAACATGATTCAAAGTAAAGTTTAAATGTATTTTTTAATATTATAAAAAATATATATGAATTAGATTGTCATATACGTTTGGTATATTTCTCTTCGGCCCACGTCTATCAAGGATATTTGGTTTTTGGCCCTTCATCCCAAAAAGTTTGGGCACCCCTGGTTTATACTGTATGAGACACATGTCTTGATAAAAAGTGTGCTGCTTATTTTTATATAAAACAGAATACACTTGACAATATTCTTTTAATATAACAATTTTTTAGCATTAAATTTAATAAAAAATATTTCTGGTGTTGTTTGATTGAAAGTTTGGGGTTAGTAATTTTTTTACTAACCACAAACTTTTGAACAAATAACAGCAGTTCGGCCAATTCTAATATTAATTCTAATTACAGATAACTAATAAAAGATTTTTGTACATTACATCAATTTTAACACAATCATTATTATTGTTAAACATGATAAACTAGGCGACGCAGTGGCGCAGTAGGTAGTGCTGTTGCCTCACAGCAAGATGTTCGCTGAGTTGCTGGTTCGAACCTCAGCTCAGTTGATGTTTCTGTGTGGAGTTTGCATGTTCTCCCTGGGTTTCCTCCTGGTGCTCCGGTTTCCCCCACAGTCCAAAGACATGTGGTACAGGTGAATTGGGAAGACTAAATTGTCCGAAGTGTATGTGTGTGTGTGTGGATGTTTCCCAGAGATAGGTTGCGGCTGGAAGGGTATCCGCTGCGCAAAAATGTGCTGGATAAATTGATAAAATGAGTCTTGTGGCGACCCCGGATTAATAAAGGGACTTAGCCAACAAGAAAATGAATGAGTGACTAAACTACAAATTACTAAGCTTAGTCTAAATATCTAACACTATTGTGACTAGTATGGAGAGCCAGGGCCAGAAAGGAACGTTCTGACTGCTTGAACGTTTTTTCAGATGGTTGTTTGGGTTCATGGTTTTCTTAATGCCAGGCAGCAGTCGTCTCCGTCTGATAAAGAATTGTCACACTATAGCCTGTGGTAGTACAGAAATCCACTGTTTTCAGCTTTATTACACATTATTTGTTACTGTGGGTGACTGAGGACGACAGCTGCAAATAAAAAGCTTACAGAGGAGTGGATGTTTAAGAGGCCGTTTCACAGTTTACAGCTTAAAGGCATGGTTTAACAAATGAACATTCTCTCATTATTTACACGCCTTCAAGTCATACCAAACCGGTATAACTTTATTCTGTGAAAGACATAAAGAGTTTTATAATTGAGAGAGAAGACTTTGAAGTGTTGTCATGTCACTCAGGAAAATATAAATATTTTTATTATAGTAAAAAATGCATTAATTATGCATTTTGGTGGATTGATTACCATTTATATAACCACGGTTAAAGTGTGATAATTATTGCAAAACCATGCTTAGTCTGTGTTTACTAGTGTTAGTCATAACCATGATTGTGTCTCAATCAGTACCTAGCTCCCAAAGTCATGAATCAATAAGTGGCATACACTAACTCGAGCACTGGTTCACTACACTGTAAAACCTAAAAAGTGAAGGTAAATTAAACCATTTGAGAAAACCGATTGCAACAAACCATTTAAGTTCAAAAACGAATCTATACGAGTACTGTGAATGTAATTCATGTTTCGTGCTTTAGAACATACAGGGAACATACAGAGCGTTCCAAACAGGTAATATCTCCCTCTGAAGGAAATTGTGGAGTGGAAACAATCATGACCGCCATATTGAATTGTCATGCCAAACCAATGTGCTCCAGTTTCCCCCACAAGTCCAAAAACATGTGGTATAGTAGAGTTGGGTATGCTAATTTGTCCGTAGTGTATGTGTGTAAATGAGTGTGTAAGCGTGTTTCCCAGTGATGGGTTGCAGCTGGAAGGGAATCCGATGCGTGAAACATATCCTGGATAAGTTGATGGTTCATTTCGCTGTGGCGACCCCGAATTAATAAAAGGACTAAGAGAAGAAAATGAATGAATTCCAAACCAATGTGCTCAAAACTGGCCATTTCGTAGGGCCCTTGGAATGAAGGATTTCGAAGGGGACAACTGATGGACGTTTCATGATCTTTTGCCCAGGGAAGCTGCATTGTTTCACACTGTGTTATATTTAGAAGGGCTCATCTCTATGCCCTAATTTGTTCGAAGATGTAACCCCAGAGGGTAAAAACTTTGAAGGGATCAATGCAGAGGAATGAGAGCTACTCAAAGGAAGCAGCTGATACTGAGCATCGATGCTCCCTGATATTCGCAGTGCATTGTGTACACATTGTGTAACAATTCAGTGCACTGGAAGAATTTTGCGATTTAGACAGCACTTAAAATATTTGACTCCTTGAAGTGCCCTGACTATTGAACAAGGGAGCTGATGGACAAGTAGTAGGGTTTTGTTTATAGCTTACCCTGCTTAATTTTTTAAAAGGGACTGCTACAGAAGTTTTATGGTCTATTAAACTTTGTGGGCTTTATTTTGATGATCTATGCGCAAAGTGCAAAGCGCATGGTGCAAAAAGATTAAGGGCGCGTCTGAATCCACTTTTGCTTTTTTAAGGATGGAAAAATCCGTTTTGTGCAATGACGCATTGTCTCACGCCCTATTCACACGGGGCTTCAGCGTCAACGCTTGACAGAGGGCGTGTCTGAAGTTGGAGCTGAAACGATCGTCATAGAAGCGTCAGCCAATGAAATTCAGTCAGCAATAGGCCACTGTCTGAGCTGGTGTATTTGCATACAGCGATCTGATTGGCTGACGCTTCCGTCGGCGCTTGAAAAGTTGAGCTGGTCCCAACTTCTGCAGCGAGGAACGCTTCTGAAGCGGCGCCGACGGATCCACAATGCAGTTCGGCAATGCCTGACGTCACCCATTCAAAGTGAATGGGAAGCGTTGACGCTGAAGCCCCGTGTGAATAGGGCGTAACAGGGATTAGCTTATTTTCTTAATGAGTTATAGGTGTGTTTTGAGAATAAACCAATCAGAGTCTCATCTCCCATTCCCTTTAAGAGCCAGTTGCCATAGCGCGTTTGCTATTTACATGGCGGACTTTGTAAGTGGAAAAACTTAACCCTTCACTAGCGAGAAAACAGTTAAACAGAGTATCTACAGCGCGAGAAAAAAAGATGAGCCTTCTCATTCTTTACTTTCACTTTAACTCTCATGGATAGGGAAACGTGTTGTACGCACAGACATCCATTAGCCTATACATAATTGAACAATAATAACGAAGTGTGGTCAAAAAACAAGGTTATCTCCAAATACACATGCTATGCCCCATATGGTCTGAATCCTGAAAGATGGGCAAATCTAAGCTTGTTTTTATTAAAACAAATATAAATATGGATATAATAAATATTATTGTTAATAATAATAACATTATACAAAAGCAAGTTATCATGAATTAACTGAAAAAGCCCCACGAGATGAAGAAGGCATGGAGGCGGTGGTTTGTATATTCATGTAGGCTAGAAAACAATAATTTTTGTAATATTTTAATCCTTTATTTCTATTTTTGTAAAGACGTTTGCGTATTGTTGTACATCCTGTGTGTATTAAGCAATGTGCAAGCGAGGCGCACAAATAATGTGCTCTGAGCTGGACTATTGACCTGCGTTGATCTGGTCTACTGAACAGTCTATTTAAGTTTCTCAAAATAGCAACGCGCCTTAACATGCCTCCTTTTGTAGACCAGAACGCCTATGGGCGCACGTATGAGCGCAAATGCATTACGTGCATTTGCAAAACGTCAAAACGACTCTTGCGCCGAGCTGAAACTAGCAAACAACAATTGCGTCACGCCTTGCGCCGGGTGTATGATAGGGCCCTGCGAGTTTTAGCTTGCTCTCTTTCAGCATTCAGGCCCTTTAACATCAAGTGTGACATGATAATATAAAGCAAATCCCCAACAAACTGTATAACAAATATAAAATCAACACATGACAAAAAAACCTCTCCGTTCAAGCGAGTCTGCATCATACATTTGTGCCGTTTAATTACAGTGTGATAAATGCCTTTAATCTGACACTTTGCACAGGAATTATGGTGCTGTATTTTAATAACAACCCTTTTATAGACCTTTTTGAGGGATGTAAACAATAACAATGGTCCTAATCTATTTACTGTTTTACATTTTTTACTTCTTCAGCTTACAAGAATACAAAAAGGTCCACATATTGATAAATAATGTTATGATAGCTATTTAAATGCTAAGTAATGATTTAATTGCATCTTGTTACAGTTATGAAATAGCTTGATAACAAGCAGCGAATGTTCGTGGGCCAATGGCAACATCCCATTGAAATGGTCTATACGGGGTAAAAATGGCAGAGGAATAGCCTAAAGATTTGACTTTACACTAATATACTTATTGTGTTCATATTGTATTGCAGAACACTGGTGCTACTGAAGTGGGATGTGATATTAGGTTAGGGACAGGTTTTGTGGTATGAGGGTGGGTTAAGGTGTAATGGGTCAACAGCATAATGATAAAAGTATTTACAAAAATTTATTACAGGCCTGTAAATAACTTTATAACATAAATACAATTCCTAAACATTTTCGTAATAAATGCATTGTACCAAATTATTAATTAAAATGTAAGTACATAGTAATTAAGACAACTTAATTCTCCATGTGTCTATGTGTATTTTCTAGATGTCTATGGGAGTTAGGCTCCTGATTTTTTTAGACCTGACAACGTTTACTGCCAACCAACTTTCATTGTTTGAGCAGCTCAAACATTTTGCAAAACTTCACAATTTGAGATGCATGAATAAACCTGGATAAACTACATCAAATGCACATATAATTAACATCTTGGTTACTTGCTAATTACTTACCAATGTTAATCTCATCATCGGTCTCAGCATCTCCAATGCATTCAAACTGGAAATCCTGAAGCGACTGGGAGAATTTCTGCACAGCTGCAGAAAGACCTGTTCAGAAGACAACAGAGTTATGTGATGGAGCTTTACTGCAATTTCAGCATATTTACATCAACTTACTCATTACTAACAATTTGTTTGGTCAAACGGGAAGGACATGACCTCACAAATACTCAATTAAAGACTTAGTTCAAAGCCCTTTTTTGGGAAGACATTCACTCCCTTTTGTTTGGCACAAAAGCCAGAAGGAGCCTTCAGCTGGACTGCTTTGTGGCAGAGAATAAAGGATAAAGTTGTGAAAGAGAACACTGTTAAAACTAACAAAAAATAGTCAGTGCTGAATGGACTTGAGAAGTTCAAAGACTAAGACTAGTGCAAAGAAAACATATCTAGAGGGAGGCAAGGAGGAGCCATGTTAGCGAAGTGGCTGATAACAGCATATCTAGTAGAGACTCGTCTTCTTCTTGATATCATATAAGATCCAAGCTGAAGAAACAGGCGTTTGATGATGGCACATGCACACACACCACAACCCCGGCCTGAACATACTCACTTCTAAAACCTGCTAGATATTAGAGTTGATAAACACAGGTTAATTAAAAGCAAAGTGTAAGACAGAGAAGGCTCATTTACACACTTTTCTAAATCTGCAGTTTCACTAATTTTGATAAAATATCTACAGTAGGTGTTTAACAGGGCAAAAGGTCAGGCACTACACAAGTTCCTTTCTTTTTAGAAAACACAAACCCATTCAACTACACTGCTCTATCTAATCTACATCAGTGCTGTGAATTCTCACTTTTCCCCTCACACGGTTAAAGTAAATTAAAACTAGCAAAAATAGTTTAAATAATGTAACAACAATAACTAGAGAAAAAAGAATTAAAGTCAGATCACGTGTGAGTTAAATCTCAATACATCACTTACTTTTCAAAACACACATACACGACCTGTAACTTACTTTTAAGCGCACTGATAAGCATATTTCCATCTTTGATTAGTTCCTTGATGAATTTATTGGTACGATCCAGTTCAATTTCGTGGCATTTGAGTCGCTCTCTGAAGTCAGGACTGTCCAGAAAAGAGTCGCTGAATTCCAGCGCCGGGAGCCCCATTGTAAACGTCCGGATGAATGAAACGGTGAAACAAAGGCTGACGAACACAAGCTACCGGAAAAGCTTTGATTCTCGGGGAAAGTAGGTTTCTTGATAGTGTGAACTTTCAACGGTTACGAGTCCCGAAACTCTGTATCCCGAAACCCCACTTCCGGCATTCTGTTTCCCTGCTGGATCACGGAGAGATTGAGCAGAGCAGAGGGAGAAAGCGAGGCTCGCGGTGACTCCTACTGGTCTGATCCCGCTCACCTACAGGACGACATCAGGACATGATTACACCACTGAGCTGCTGCTGCTGGGTTTACTTTTTAGGCTACTACACCCTCCTGGGGTCACTTTGTAGAAGTTGTATGAGCCTGTGTACTATGAAATACATATAGCCTATTTTGTAACTGAGGTTCAAAATTCTTGATTTTTTTATATTATATTATATTATATTATATTATATTATATTATATTATATTATATTATATTATATTATATTATATTATATTTATTATATTATATTATATTATATTTATTATATTATATTTATTATATTATAACTTATTATTACTTTAGATGGTTTAGGCATAAAAATAAAGCTAGAATCCTATTTTCTTATTTAAATATATATGGGCAAATATGTTTTGAAATGTGTTTAATATCTTTTTAAAATATATAAGAATATCCAAAAATTACCAAATAATATTGACACATTATTAGAATATTACAAATATTATTTACATAAATATATTATTTAAAAACATATTTTAAAAATTGTATATATTTTAGATGTTTTATATATTTTGAAATCATTCATTCATTCATTCATTTTCCTTCAGCTTAGTACCTTTATTTAACAGGGGTCGCCACAGTGGAATGAATCGCCAACTTATCCAGCATATGTTTTAAGCAGCCATACCCATACACACCCATTCACACACATACACGTTGGCCAATTTAGTTTATTCATTTCACCTATAGCACGTCTTTGGACTGTGAGGAAGACCAGAGTACCTGGAGGAAACCCATGCGAATACGGGGAGAACATGCAAATAGCACACATAAATGCCAACTGACCCAGTCGGGACTCGAACTAGCGACCTTCTTGCTGTGACCCGACAGTCTAACCACTGAGCCACCGTGCCGCCCTGAAATATATTTATATATATATATATATATATATATATATATATATATATATATATATATATATATATATATATATATATATATATATATATATATATATATATATATTATTCCCTCTAAAATTAATTTTGAATATGTGATAAATATATTTGAAAATATATTTTAGGTTCAATAAAATTCACTGCTAATTCTAGATTGTTCAAAATAAATAATTATTTTGTTTTAATGTTTGGCCAAACTGCACATCTATTTTCTGTGCAATCAAAGTATGGCTAAAAACAAGGCAGATCATTTTGTATTATATGTCGCATGTTAGTCCTGGACCAACCCTACAGCCCCTTATAGGATAGGCAGTTTGATAAAAGGATGTATATTTGGACATCCCTAAACCTTGAGATGAAGTCAAAGTAACATTATGAGCATCACATGACAAAAACATTATTAACAAAACATAAAAAAGGTCAATATCAAAAGTATGATAAAGAACACATTTTTTGTCCAGCTATCAAAACTGTTCCCTAAATAAATAACATGTGCATGTGAAGCCCAGTCCTCCAATCCAAAGGGAATGACTGCCATCTGGTGACCCACTCATGAAACATTACAATTTTTTTTTTCTTTGGAAAAACTCATTCTGCTAATCTGCTGTCCTCTGTTTGACCTGAGCATGGTAATTTTAATTAGAGTAAGATAGACAAAACAGATAGCCTTTTATTTGAAGAAAATGATTGTCTGTTTTTATACAGTATATCTACAGGTCATGTAATTTGCTACTGGCAGTCGAGGCTACTATTTTTAACATGACCCACAATCCTGTTCTTTAGAAAGGTCTCTTGGAACAAGCCGGGGAACTTCTTGAGACATGGTTCGCCCTTTAGGTAAGCTGTTTGGTAACTGTTTATATAACGTTGTTTTTGTCAGTGCTGTCTGCAAATGCTTACCCTTAGCTGTACTGCAAGGTCTTATTAAAACAGGTAAAATGTTAAATAATTTACTAATGCATTAAGGGAAACTGTGCTATAGTTTATCAATGCATGTGTACTGACATTTTAACGAATTAGATACAACTCTTTTTTTCAGAAACTGTTGTTGCTCACTGCTTCAGATAATAATGGTATGTTCAATTTATTTTTTCATTACTTAAATATTGGTAAAAGTATATGAGTAAATTTCAATTACACAGTTGTATTATGATGGATTGGAAACCGAAATGCAGTTATCATTCTAATGAAATGAGGAAAAACAAATAAAAATTAACATACTAGTTTCAATAAAGTAGTAACATGTAAGACTGTTAACTATATTCATAAAAGTTGATTCAAAATCATTTGGTCTAAACTCAGTCTATTTCTTCTGTTAATTGTACCAGAAGTATTGATGACTCATCCTGCACTCACGGTCACGTCCAAACTTTTGTCCAATCAGATCTGCTTTTTAGTGAGAATGACCCAATAAATTTTACAATTTAAAAAAATGAAAAATAATTTGAGAAATTGATTCTGCATCGATTCTGAGGGTGCTTTCACACACGTGGATCGATTATTTTGTTCTGAAACAGGAATTAAAATTGTTACAATGTTCTTTTTTGTTTTTGGTGCAGTTTGCATTCACATGGTAACATTTCTAAACGGACCAAAAGTGCTAAAACGAGCCACTTGTGTGTAACTCCCCTCACGTTGGTCAGAGTTTCACAGTTTATTTTGCAGAGTCCCGCTCAGCTGTCTTTTTTTTGTTTATGGCAATGAGCAATAAGACATTATAAGCATAAAGCTGCGCTTTAATTTTAAATTGGTGACACCCACAAACATTGTCACCAAATATAAATCAGAGGTAAGACTCTCTCATAGCAGTTGGTTTATGCATTATAGGCTTTACATTATAGAGAGAAATAACAGATAAACCAAGACTGCAGTTCAGTCCATTTATTTTCCTACCGGATAAACAGCTCTCGGTAAAAGTTGACATGTTTTCACTTTCATATTTGACATGAAATGCACATTTACTGGTAGGAATGATGACATCCCGCCCTACTCATAATTTTCTCTTCAAATAACCGTAAATATGCCTAAATATCTATAATACTCTGTGATATAGCCTGGTTCAGATCGTATTGCTTTCTCACTACAATCGATCCACTCCAGAGTTTGTTTCAATCGAGCCGAGACTACCTCATTCAGGTGATCACGGACCAACTGTTTTGGTGCAGATCAGAGCACGATTGCAGAATTCACATAAGCCAACCAAACCGCACTAACTGGGGAAACACGCCAGGTTCCGAAACAAGAGTCTAGGTGTAAAAGAACCCTGAGATTTTCAAAATGCACCACTCTTCTCTCAATTCAATTCAAATAAAGGGTGCTTTCAGACTGTGGTTCGGTTTATTTGGTCTGAACCAAGGGCAACAAACTATACATTGTAGCATTTTTTTGCCTTGTTGGGTCCTGTTCACTCCACACCGATTGCTTTGGTCCGAACCAGTTAAAAAGAACCAAGATGCAAAATCAACCAAAATCCACATCACTTAGTGGCCAGATGTTATTGAACGTATTTCCTAAACTGCTTTTTGATTGGTCAGAATTAACGTGCGGGAAAATGCCAATGGAACTCCCACAGGTAAACAAACCGGCAGACACAAAATGTTTTTTTACTATAGATGGACGACTGCGCTGGCTGATTGTATCCCTGCTCATAGTATACTATATTTTTTGTATATGTCACTTTAGACAAACTATACATCTTGAGAATGAAGCACAGCTACAGCTGGAAAACAATGTTTTAATGCATTGCAAACTTCATTATGTTCATACTGAGTTGTGTTCACATTAATTTTGTGACATACAAGCCACCTTACATGACTCAGCTGAACACACAAGTTCTCTTTCTCACAAGGATTTGAGGATTGAGCGTCACTAGCATAGAGTGCCATTGCTTGTTAAAAGCTAAGCACAGAATCGATTTAAGAATTATTATTTTCTGAAATTTCTGAATAAATGCAGAATTGATTTCTTGAACAGTTGTTCACCACAGAGCTAATAAATACTGTCAATATAAAAAAAAATGGGAGAAGTTTCCATCCATCTTATTTCAATAGAAAATACATCAATAAAGAATTAATTATTTGCTTCCTGATTCATGATTTTCTAGTTTAGAAACAGTGCAAGTCTCCTTGTTGTGTTTCCCCCTACAGAGTCGCTATAGAAAATCAGGTCCAAGGCTGCACAGGCATTGCGAGACCTGTTATAATCGCCGCTGTAAAGCCTCCATAGAGGTCTCTGTGTCCTGCATGGTCATCAACTGCCGCTTGCTCTGTGGAGCCTCCTTTCACTTATGTAAAGAGGATGAACACTCTCTGCTGTGTCCCAATGAGAAGGTGCCCTGCATTAATGCTCACTATGGCTGCCCTTTCACCATGTGTCGCTCTCGTCTGGCCAAACATCTTGAGGTTTGCCCTGCGAGCATCGTCTGCTGCTCGATGGAATGGAACCGCTGGCCCGTCCAGAACCCAGATGCTCCTTTGTACCCAAACCTTCTGAAAGAGCTCCATGAGCAGGAGTCACTAGACCTTTCCATGGCACTAAGAGACCAGAAACATCTATGTGCGAGGTTGAAAATGAGGAACTGCTTTCCAGAGTTGATGGAGGAACGAGAAGAGGAACCAACTCCAGTGGAGGAGGAGGAGGATAAAGAGGCAGCAGCAGGAAGAGAGGCTGTACCTAATGGAATTTCCATCAATGAACATGAAGGTTCAGTTTTATTAAATGGATCATCTAAATCTTGTGAGAAAGCTATGAATGAAAACATGGTCCTCAATGGTGACATTGACAAGGAGAAGTACAATCTATTTGAGAAGATGTTCTCCATGGAAAAGGGGGGTTGCAAGCAGGCAGAGGCATCAACAACAGAAGAAAAGAAAGGACAAAAGGCTCTTTCTGTCACAAAACCACAAGACGCTTTTATAGAGCCTAAGAATGAGGAAACCAATGCACCCAGTGTGGATGTCTCCAAATGTGGACTGGCACCTTGGCAGGATGGTGTCCTGGAGAGACTCGGGCAGGAGGTAAAACCAAGAGAATTCAACATGTACATAGTGCATCATGGGCGCATGCTGA